ACATATATATAAGTTGGTTATTTATAGGTACTTATTCAAGTGATCAGAACATAAGCCGATATTATAGGTAGTTAACCATACTTAATCCAGAGGAGCTTTAACAAACAATGAACTGGACAAAAGACACTTGGTTACGTCGTTCTGCAATTGCTGGAGGACATTACGAAAAAAGCACGTTCTTTGCTTTTCACACGTATTCATTTGTTCTTGTTTTCTATGTTTTTTATGGATGTGTACATTTTGTACGGTCACGAGATATATTAGGCCCCAGCTCTCTATCTGTCAGAAGCGGCCTAAAATCAAAACAAAACAAAATCAAAGCAAAAACATTAGTAACGGCTAAAAGTACAATTTCTACACCATTTTTCTGCCACTAGATCCAGTAAATCAGTTGGTTTAATTGGGTTTAGATGATTGCTTCAGTTTGACCAATTAGCTATGCGTCTCGGCGTATGAGATCCGCCCGTGTAATTAGTCGTGTCCGAAGGAATCTTATGCTTATTGGTACTTTCCTTTCCTTTTCATTGTGCCTATCTGTCTATCGAGCCTGTGAACAATTCTTCTCACAAAATAATTAAAAACGCAAACCCCAGGACAGACTTCAGTCTGGGTCATGGTAAAACTAAGCACTTAAAGAAGCCATTTTCGTAGCTTTGTCACAAAGATCAGTCGTTTACGCTACTGTATTCTGAACTCTAAACCAAAAACCGTCAAAGTAAAACCCACGTTCAGGTCACTCGATATTGAATTTCGTGAAAGGACGCAAAGTGCATGCGTCAGTGTGTTTACGTATAGACAAGATCCAAAAGGAAGGGACATATCAAAGAATTGCCCCACAAAAGTTATCCTTCGTTTAGCAGCCATATATGGTAATCTTACCTTATTTGGAAGTTCGATAGGAATGGTTTTTGTCGATTTTCTCGACTTTTAAAGCTTGAAATCGTCGGAAACTTGCAGATATTATAGCGAAAACACTTCTAAACAATCCGCCATTTTGTTTGTTTCCATATATGGCATGGATTCGCTAAAGGAAGCCCAAAACTAAAAAGCACAGGGAACCCGCACGAATGATATACAATTCTTTGATATGNACTTAAGCTCCTAAAGGCTTTCATAATTTTTGCGGTTTTGGATAATGTGCCCTCAAGCTTATTAACATTTTTATTAGTTACTCCTAGATACTAAAATGTTCTTCATGCGTCATAATCTCTTATTTTACCCAGAAACTGTCATGTAGCTAARCCATAGGGGGTCTCTTTAATAAATCTGGAAATCACACGAAGAGCTTTTCGGTCTCATTGTGGTGAAATGTGAAATGACCTCAGTGCTTTCCCAACACACTTGACTCTTTTGCACTGCCAAAATGTTACCCTTGTTRYCTGCTTTTTGGCTGTCATGCACCAATTTACATCGCGAGTCTTGTCAGCACCGTTGACTATCATGACGACATGGCAATCGATCCGTTGTGACGTTGCGTTGCACTTGAAAAAGGATAAGAAGTTCGAAATTATATACATAAGGTCATYGAAGATATAAAGATTCACGAAAAGATTGATGTTGGAGCACAGAAAATCCCGTGAAGCAGTTTCGTCAGCTAGTGGTTTAAAGTTGAGGTGTCMGCGCCCAGAACGTGAACTAATTCAGTTTTTTCTTTTTGTCAATSACAAGTAATGGATAGGTGTACTTTRAACGCCACAAAACCACTTGTGTCTGATAAAGTGGCTAAAGTGCTTACTGCAAAGAATGCTCTTTATGAAAAGGAGTTGTCTTACGTGTGTAAGAMGCTGGACAGAGAAAAGAACTATTGCACAGCGTCCATCGAAAACGCAAAACGAAAGCTAATCAAGACACTCAGTGCAAACGATGTTCTTCCTGCTGTTMAAAAGAAACCGAATATCGAYATCATAGATTGTCCTGTGGACTTTCATGAGCGAAGTTATTCTTTACCCACAACGCCACAGTTCAAGCGAATAAGGATTCGCCAAAGAACTAAAAGCACTGACGAAAATAGCGTGAAGGAAAAGGGCAACGCTCTATCATCAGTGATCGCAATACCWGGAAAACACCTCCGAGACTACACGACATCAAATGACGATGCGTCATTGTCACCAAAATCTTTATCAAGCACGGACACTGACGATGACATTTTTGGAAGTTTCGTTTTTTCTAGCTCTATGCAGGATCTTTCTGGATCAAGTCTTCCAAAYATCCATGYATCTGAAGTTGAAATCCCTGATATTTTGGTTACCGATTTGGACAATGAAGAATGCGATGTTGACARCATCGAAAAGCCCTTAGGAAAAATGTCRCTGATAAGGAGTTACAGCACGGGAGATATAGAGAACGCTTCAGAAACTGTWAGCAAGGACTWTGGACATGCGTGCTCATCTCCTGTGCAGATCAGAAGGGCTAGTGGACTCCCAGAAAACGTACATGGAGTCGACTGTAGACAAAGTTGGAAGGAAGACCGCAATGCAAATGCAAGTGAATACCAACCAAGATATGGCTCACTCGACGAATTATCCTTTCAAAGATTCAGTWATATGCTCTCAGAAAATAATATTCCAYTGAGACCTAAACCAAGGTGTAARCCYTACTCCGAGGAGCCTTTCTACTTGCGCAAAAAGTGCTTACTGAGGAAATGCTTGGACAAAAAGGATATACATAGAAGCGCTCCAGAAGGACTCGCTGATAGCTCTGCAGAAACAGAAAGGAGTTTGGAAAGACCACTTGCATCTATTCTTCCTCCTATTATATTACCAAGAATCTACACACAAGAACCGTATTATAAAAGTATCACGGAGAAGAAGCCTGTGACTGGATCAAAGAAGCATGACCGTGATTTTAAACTGACTGCTGATGCTTCCAGTTTGACTAAAAATTTAACTGATTGTAGATATCTGCGTAGTAATACAAGGTAGTCTATACAAACGATTCCCATGTATCTAAGTACGTCAGTTGATAATATTCCAATTACGCATACTTGATCCTTGTTTCAATCCGGCAGTAAACGGACTGATATTCATTAACAACAGCTTTTTCAACTTTTACATTGCACACACATGCATGAATTGATAACTTTAATATTGTCTTAGTCAAACACATGTTTAACAAAAAAAAAAATAAATAAAAATATATTTATTTGTTGATTTCACTTGTCTGTGGGAATTTGGTATAAGAGTGATGAGTGGCGGCCGAGATGCCACAATTCTTGGACAATCATCCCTGCAATCCACGGCCTTTATAGTATTACGTTAGATGTTACGTTCACCGTATTTCTGAGTGCTCTCTTCTAGTACTCTCAAATCTGACACCTTTGAATGATGATAGTTTTCTATAAGCCCCTTAATAAACCGCTAGGGCGTTTATAAAAGTCTTTTTGCAGCTAATAGTCCCATGCGTGGTGGAAAATCAGATTACAAAAATCAGATTACAAAAAAGCGTACTATTTAGCCGTCATGTTAGTTCGATAAAATTGGCGTTTTTCTGATTTAATATCCTTTGGTTTTTGAATTTTTGAGTTAAGGAATTGTTTCGATTGATTGATGTCAGCAAAAAACAAGTGGAAACAAGGGTTATTAAAACATCGTATAAAGTTGCATGTGGTCAATGAAGCTAATGGATGTTATGTAAGAGAATTGAAATCGTTACAACTGGCATAGAAGAGCTTAGTATTATCAGCTGTACTCTACAACAAATAGGTGACGGGGTATTGACTATAAGATTCCCTATCAAATGAACAGTAAATAGGCCCTGTAAATGAACAGTTCTGTCAATTAGTCCGAGTCTTGTTGTGACATATAAGTTCTTTGACCTCATCATTTAAGTAATAGAGGGCCCCGAACCTCTTGTGTTGTCAATGCACTCGGCTTAGACCCGACTTCTAGATTATTTCAGGAAACTTAATTGGCTTGGAACAGATCGATATCATACTCGTCGAACATCTTTTCTAGAAGMTCCCGTGATTGATTTTTTTATGCATGCTCTGTAGATTTATGACTAGGAACAATTAGAAAAAAAAAATGGAAATTTTCATGATATCGAGACTGAGTGGACATGCACCGAACTAGCCCTCTTTAGATGTAAAGGGGTTAAGTGTAAGGTGTTCCCGAACCACTTACATGCACTGCACGTAGCTGACTAGAAGGTCAAGGTCAAAGACAATAGACTTGCAAAAAAGTCCATTTTAGCCCCACGGCAAAGTTTTACTACATTCTCGAAATTTCCTTTAAAATTTTTGTAAGTCTAAAGAACTATGTGGCAAGTCTAGTCTACAATAATTGTCGTGTAACGTAAAGTTCAGTCCAGCGAACTTGAAGAACCAGTATTTTCCTTGAGAAGTCGGCAATTCTTAGTCTTCTCTTTGGGGTTCCTGTGTAAGATAAGACTTTTGACATTTGGGCTTCCTGTGTTGCGGCGAGGCTACWTTTCCAACATGGCGGACGAAGTAAATTGAAATACTTTTAGATCATGCTGTCAAGAAGAGTTTTGTCAGTGTTTAAACCGTCGAAATTRCTTGAATCAAGCCTAAATAATAACCTTAGAACTGGTTTTCGTCCGAGGCTGGGTGAATTTGTGGTAACATATCGTTGCTTGTCGTCCTTTAGAGGTAAAGAAACAAAWTGAGTTTTCCTGTAATTAAACTTAAATTATGTAATTTTGATAAAACTTTCGCAATCTACATAAATTGGTTCATCTAAACGCATTTKAAATCACTGTTATATTCTATCTTTAGAAAGAAAGCGATTTTACAAACGTGCGGGTGTAGAGACGGCGGATGGTAAGTGAACAGTTTATAGTCACAGGTTTTACTTAAGCTTATATAAAAGGCGAATAATAGAGCAAACGCAGAAAAACCATGGAATAAAATCAAACTAAATACTAACAAATAGCGGCTATTTAGAGACAAATTGTCATTATGATCAATTAAAAATGGTCCCATGTGGATTCATCTTCATTGCGTTCTTGTTGCGATTAATACTGAAAAATTGTCTCTAAATAGCCACTATTTGTTAGTATTTAGTTTGATTTTATTTCATGGTTTTCTTGTGCTTGCTATACTCACTATTTTTCTTTTTTTCATGTAGATGGTTTCCAAGTGACTGTTGATAATAAGAAGGTTAAAACACCTCATGGCAATAACCTTATTATTCCCAGTAAACAGCTGGCTATGGCTGTGGCTGCAGAATGGAACATGCAGAAAGACGTTATCAAACCAAGCAATATGAACCTGGTCAGTATATTTCATAATGTTATTGCTACTTACCATAATCCAGCTATTATTTTTACAATCATATTTCCACT